TTTGACAAATATTAGCAAAATAATTTATGACAAAACACATTAAGAGTTGTATTGAATGCACATACAGGGAGCGTCTTCATTAGATGAAAATATTCTGACAACACCAGCAAACACCAACTTGTCAGCTGATCAGTGAGCATTAAAAAGTCCACTGAAAAAAATGTATTTTCCATATACACCACACAGACATTTATGAACTCAAGATATCAACAAATGAATTAATTATCTTTATTTGCATTGCTTTCTGGAGAAGAGACATCTCTTAGACGCAATGTAAGCTTACACTAAAATAACATTCTATCACAGCTCATATGGGGAAAACACAGCGCATGCCTCAGCCTTACTCTGTAATTTGAGAATATCCTACAATGCTTTTGTACTTTTTGCCATTGCCTATTTATACTAATTAATGTTATATGCCCTGAAATATGTTTAAATTATTACTATTATTTTTAGTTCTCAATTGGACTGAGATCTGGACTCTGACTCAGCCACTTAAGAACGCTGACTTTGCTGTCCAAATCATTTTTATGTAGCTTTGGCTGTATGCTTTGGGTCATTGTCTTGCCAGAAAGCAACTTTTCTCCTAAGTTCTCTTGCAGACTGCATCAGATTGTCCTCCAGGCTTTGCCAGCCTCCCATGGCCTGCTGCCAAGAAGCATCCACACATCATGATGCTGCCACCACTATGCTTCACAGTGAGGATGGTGTCTTTGCGAGGATGTGCAGTTTTCGGTGTTTGCCAGCAAAGCATCGTCTGATGGCCAAAAACATTTTAGTCTCACCAGAACAAAGAACCCTTTTCCAGTTGACTTTAAAGTCCATCACATGCCTTCTGGCAAACCTAGTCAATGTTTACTATAAGCTTTTTTTCAGCAGTGGCCTTCTCTGTGCCACGTTCCTAGAAAACTTTGATGGATGAAGAACAGCGAACAGTTGGTTTCTTCCTTCTCAGCTGCTGAAGTCCTATATAGGAGTCATAAGTGTCTTGGTGGCCTCCCTCATTAGTCTCTTTCTTGCACAGACACTTTGTCAGGACAGCCTGCTCCATGACAATTTATGCATGTGCCATATTCCTTCAATTTCTTATCGATGGATTTCACTGTACTCTAGTGGGTATTTGGTGATTTGGACATTTTTCTTGATCCATTCCCTGAATAATGCTTTTCAATAACCTTTGCACAGAGTTTCTTGGAGTGTCCTCTGTATTCATAGTGTAATTATAGCCAGGAGTACTAATTCAACAATGACTGGACCTTCCAGATATCTCTTGAGACACATTCACTGCGCTGAGATCATCTTAATTTCACAAACTGTTCAACTTCTACCAATGGCTGGAATTGTATTGAATTTGGCAAATCACTTTTATAGGGTAAAAATGTATGTAATCACTAATTTTACATTTTATATTTTTCATGAATTGACATTACTTTGTAGAAATCAGCTTTTGCTTTGATGTTAGTCTTTTTTTGCAAATTGTTTGCAGAAAAGACAAATTAGATTAGCCATGATTCAATGTTTATATGTTTCAGAGTTTACGGTTTTGACTCAAAGTAATTTTCTACTGCCGTGTGTGTAACAAAGAAAATATTCATTTTTAAACCATCCCCACCTTCTGCTCTTAGGAATGGAGTTTACCAGCTAAAAGGGAGGAGCAGAGATACTGCCCAAAAGGACGCTCAAGACAGTAAGGGAATCAATTAATGAATGAAAAATAATAACTAAGGTCTGATGATTCCTAATTACAAAAGTTCTGATTAGTCAGGAGGAAGCATAGTGTCACATATTAATAGCTATTTACAGATTGTGTGGCTAAAACACAGAAGCGGCCTAATTCTCATTTACAATTATTCATTGTATGTTTGCAACCAGAAGCCACCATATATGGGCTTTTAGAGTCATTTTTTCTCTCTCTCAGTTCATCCTTGATTCAAAGTGAATGTCTGGTTTCAAATTAGAAGAAATTCCCTCGAGGCGTCCAACACAGTGTGTTCACGAGAAATGGGATGGAGAATGGGATGGACAACCCGAAAACATCATCTCTCCAGCCTCTGCTGTCGTGGGCATTAAAAGGAATATTGTGTGAGTCCAAACTGCGAGTGTACCAGTTTATTAACTGAAAATGTATTTAACGTGTCAAGGAGAACACTTTGGAATCATAACAAAAACAGACAGACTGTACATCACCAAAGAGGAACATTGGTCAAACCCTGAAAACAACCAACAGGCATATTTAATGTCAAGCAAAATGTAATAAAAGATGCCATGATTGGTGTGTAATATGATGAGCCTTGGCAGCAGTGATTGCCGAGGTGGTTCAGCCTGTTTTTGTTTTTAGCCCCACTAACAGAGTAGGTCTACTGAATGGATTGCCTTGAACTTTGATAAAGACTTTAGTGTTCCCCACAGGATGAATTATGACTTTGGATTCTTAATCATTAAGTCAAAATTTCAGGTTTTCTTTGCCTTATGACCACATACCTGCAAAAGTGACTGTACTTTGGGGCTATTGTCAATCAGGAAGTGTAAGATGATTAACAAGTCATTTGCATGTAGGCATGTCAGTTTTCAGCTCTAAATAAAGTTGGGTCCTGACTTCTCTTCCTGTCCTTTAGATCAGAGTGAGCAGACTTGTAGCTGTCACATTAAACTTTTGCAATGAGGTCAAGTGAGCGTGCTTTTTTTTTTTGGGAGTAGCCGATTTTAAAAATTAACAGTGGCAACAGGCCTAATGAATAATTCTGTTTTTTTGCTTTTATTGTGTTTTCTTACATTTAATACACACACACACGTAACCAGGGGTAACTCTGGTGATGGTTTTCCCTGCACTCTCTCTTGCATTTGAATGCACCGTGTCACATGGCTTGCCAATCAGCCAATGGCATAGCTCCAACCGCTCTATAAAACTGCCCAGGCCCTTCTCCTCTTCAGTCATGTGGAAAGGGGCCAAGGGACAGCTGTTACAGGTTGGTGCTTTGCAGGCATTTTACCCTATGCAGCATCAGTGGTTGTTTGGTGCCAAGCTATTTTCTTTACACTTTTTTTAGACCTGATAGTGAGTTGTGCTGGGGGCCTTGTCATTGTGTGCCAGAGTCCTGCTGAACTGGTGAGTGTGTAACATTGTTTTGTTGATTTTGGTTGGTCTTGTTTGAGTTTCTTTTGGTTGTTTAATTGTTAGCCTGTTAGCATTAGCCACACGCTAACACATGGCTAATGCTAACATGCACTTGAATGCCTTTATCATGCGTTTTTGTTTTGTTTTAATGATTAATTTCAAATTGCTAACATGCTAATGTTGAACAAATGTCTGAATTCATGTATATTCAGTGATGTACCATGTACACACTAATGCCATGAAGATGCTAACATTAGCTTAACGTTAGCGCTCAGTTTCAAGAACTGTTCTGAACTTTGTTTGTTTGGTCCATTCAGGCCAGGTGCCTTAACTTGGACTAATTGGATGGCGAGCTACAGATCCAGGCTCAGAGTCTAGGAGATGCCCTGCTTCAGCCCAGTTCCTGCTCCAGTCTGGTAGAAGGTTGTGCAGCCTGTCCCTTCATCTTCTTCCACAACCTCGGATTCTCGGGTTCATCATAAATAAAGACATTTCAACCCCAAACAAGTGGACAATGCGCTCTTGAACATCTACACTCCTTACCATATACTCTACAGACAGTTTGTGTTCTGTTTGCATCCAGCAAACCCTGAACTCGGAGAACCAGGAGAAAAGGGACTGTATTGTGCACGTGTAATTATACAGGTGTTGTAATATGAACTGCAGTTCCTGTACATATGTCTGTTTCACTTAATTATATTTTCACTTGGTTTACAAACTTGTGTCCTTGCCTTTATTTACTGCCTCCTGCCCTCCAGTACCCTAACCTAGTCTTCTGGTTATTTTTCCTACTAGCCATTACATCTTTTTTTTTGTTGACTACATACATGTTACACACACCACAAAAATAGGCTTAAAACAGCTCTTATACAGAGCTGAATATGTTATTTTTGATGGCAGTGTGACAATATATTTACAAGAAACTGATGACAAATATGCAAAGCTTGTAAATAAGCAAACCCCCTAATTATAATATCTTTTAATCCAATCTAATTTGTTTGTATTAGTGTGAGTATTGTTTCCTCTGGTTTTTGACAGTGTTGTGCATTTTGGTCACATTTAACAATGTTAACTACAAGATAACAGTGTCACTCTGTGTCACATTAAGAGCTGAGTTATCCATTAATTGTTTTCAGAAAACTAAAGCAAAATGTCAACAGCAGAACAGTGGAGAGGGTTTGTTTAACTGCAGATAGCTGCTACAAATTCATCACTTTTCCTGCTGAGTATAACGGCTGCTTAATCTTTATCAAACTGTACCAGGTTCTGGCCAAACTTTTGCTTGTTTCTTTATTATAGTATTGTTTACTCCATTGGGCCTGGTATGTGATGAGACCTTAGAAATGTATTTTACAGCATGTCTGTCTTGCCCACTCATGATGCTCCCTCTGGCCATTGATTACAGACTTTCCTAGTCTTATGAAGTTTAGTCTTTGGCTGCAGCTGCGTGTCTCTTTATACTGTGGGTGAAGTGGAGCTAAAAATAGTTTAGGTGTCAGATAATGGATAAATTAAAAGTTAGCATGCGCAGCACTTAGAAGTCAGTTTTTCTAAACGGCGTTAGGGGTTGAAATTTGTTTTTTTATTGGCCCTAAAGGACATTGAGGCCCAAGTAAGCAACATATAAGCACAGAGGCTCAGAAGTGAAGCAGCTTATAAGCTTTTTAAGACAGATCAGTAGGTCACAAATGGCTGGATTATGCTGTAAATCCTGTTATAGTCCCCCTTCAAATAATGCACTCCAGACTACTCCTGGAAGTTGTACAACTGTTAAGGTAAACACAATTTCAGTGATGTGCTGTCTGTGTCCTCAGAGAACATTCACACCAATAGCACCTAACAAAGCATAAAATTTTTTTAAAAAAGGTCGAATGACGCGATGATGTATACACATAGTGATCTGAGAACTTTTATTTGCTGCACCTCTGTTCCTGTTCAGAATTCTCCAGCAGGTTCCAAGAACAGAAAATACTGAATCATTCATTACTGTCAAATCTCTAACAGGCTCCATACTGGTGTTGGCGACACTCACTAAATCAAATCATTCACTTCCGTCTCTGGCACAAAAACTCAAGAGTCCAGTATAGCGATGTTCACTTACACAATGAGAAATAAAAGGGTATTACACTCACAAACACATAGCACAGCAGCACAGGTAAAGAGTTACTGCTCTTCTGGTCATCTCCTTTCAAGCCCACAAACCTGTCTTTGCTGATAAACACCAAGGACTTATATTTTCTATAAAAAGCTTCTGTAGCTTTAGCGATAACAAATGACGTTGTGTGAGAGGGTCTGAGAAAGGCCAACAGTCTTGATGGAAAGGATGATAATTATGCCAAGGTTGTTCTCGTGTTTGCCACATTTCTTCTCGATAGTGGTGCTGGACATTGTAGAATCAGTACACTTGTCCAGGACTGTCTGTTTGATGCTTCACTATTCCAGCATTGGACAGAAATGATGGTCCTCTTTGAGTTGGTTGAGGAGAGTTTTCTCCAGCATCTTTCTGAACACTATACACAGAGGACAGCGAAAATACCAAGTTCACTGGTTTACTCCGGTTATTTTCCCGTACACTTCTTTAAACAAGAGCTTCTGTTGATAATACAAGTCTTCACAGCTACATACTTCATGTCTTTGTATCATACACATCTGCCTTATATTTAACTGTAACTTTGAATACAGATACAGCTGAAGATTGGGTTAGTCCACAAAAGCAGAACTGACTTCATTTCAACTTGACTTGATTGCGACAATAATGTACAAATGTAAAGACTGGCATCGCCCTGCAGATGGTTCCCACACTCTGAGTGAGAACACTGGCAGGTTGGGCCGGACTATTTTGACACAAAAATAGAAAAACAGAATCGCTGTACATATTTAGAGGGAGGAACAACGCCACATGGTCCATTTTCCTCTTTACTGCACTGGCCCTCCAATCTGCTAGGTACTAGGAGGGTCCTCAGCATGCTCTCCTGCAGTCTTCAGTGTCCATTGTTGAGGAGATGAAGGAGCAACAACAGAAGGCTGTAGGCAGCTTGAAGCATTAGACTGCGAGGTGATGCAGAGTTTGGTAGGCTGTTGGATGGCAGGGTGGAGTGACCAACCAGTAGCTCATTTCCCAGAGAGACCTAAGAAGAGACAGAAAGACCAGTTTATGGTCATGCTTCTTTTTTCCCTCGATTGTCAGTCATGTTAATCTGCTGATAGGGCACTAAAAGTTTTTATTCATCATTGCACATATGAAAGCTGCTTAGTGACACTTTGTCTCAGGATTTACATTAGACCAAAGAGTTGTACTACAGAGAAAGTTTCTTTGTGTAAGCTGGCTCAACAAAACCTAAAACCCTGCTCAGACAGAATGTGTACCATAGCGGTGGTTATCAACTTTATATGTTAACCAGGTTTTTTTCTACAGACTCTTAAAGAGGGGTGTTTCACATCTCATGTGACTTCTTCCCCACAAAAAAAATGATCCAATCATGTGTTGCCTACTTCAGGGAAGAGAAACAGGTTGTAGTAACAAAGAGCTATATATAAAAATAAATTTAATTTAATACCAGCTGAATACATGTAGGTTCTCTTGGCAACATGATGTATAGTTTGCATGATGTAACTGCACTGCTTCGTTCAGTGGGATTACAAACACACATCTCAACAGATTTGCAGGTATAGAACATCCCCAGGAGACCAAGGTTAAAGACCCAGTGGAAAATAAATATACAAGTCAGAATTCCCTGTGTCTTTTTGTTAACTACTAATTTCCCCTTTTTTTCACATCATAAATTTGCCAGTAAAATAATATAATCTTGGGATCCGGGACACCTACATAAATGTGATCTGGGTTGAGCTAACCCTACCAATTATATAAAAAGCACAATTAACCATTAGCTAGTGTAAGTAGTTAGCAGATCAGTATTTTGGTAAGTGTGTTTGGATTTCAGCTGGAAAAAGCTTTTTTTTCCTTTTAAATCTAATTTGTTAATTTAATGGTAATCCTCCACCTCCTGGTCAAACAACAGTGCATGTGAGGAACCTGTCATTCAGTTGTAAAAATGTAGTTTTAGAGTGACTTTAAGGATTGGGACTTGGCTAAGAAGGAGGCTAGGGCTACGTGAGTCTCTGAAATGTTCTTTTGGGATCATCACTGTGTCTGCTTTGGTGATCGGAGTTGAAAATTATTACCACGTCTTCCCTAGGAAACTTAGCTAACGGCCATGCCGCATTGGAGCTTAAACAGTTGTTGCTTGCTGACAGCTTGGAAGACCAACTTAACTGTTCCATATGAATATGTACATTTGTAATCTATGTTTCTGGGTATAACAGTTGGCCTAGGAACCATAATGAATAAGGTGGATGTGTAAATGTGAAGGTGTATGTGAACAGAAACTAAAGTGGCCCTTCTGGTATAATTTATTTAAAACACTGTTTGTCTCTTTGTCAGGACGTTTTGAGGCCTCTCCATCATTTCTGTTCATTTTTGCTCCCAGTGCCCCATGTGTGTCAGTTAAGGTTATCTGGCTGATGTTGTTTAGTCTGATCCCAGTGTTATGCTTCTATCAACTATCTCTATATGGAGGTCCCAAAAAAGGCTGCATTCAAGTGTTCGTAACTCAAAAAACACATTATCAGACTGACATGATGTACCTCATTTTCACTGCATGCCACTACTCCTCTCTACACAAATTCAACTGGGAACACTGAGAACGAATAGCTGAAATAAACACAACCGTTTTCTCTGCGATTATCACATTTTTCTGGAAACATGTTTGCATTATAAAATAATTTGAGAAACCTATATCGCTCAGTGTCAGAAAAGGGTTCTTTCCTGAATGTAGAACATTGTGAAAGTACTGCAGTGAACTCTCGCCTTGACAAAACAAACTGCACACCTGTGTTGGTATTACTGTATCCAGAAAGTTCCTCATAGTTTCTATGGTTTCTGGTGGAGAAGTCGTGCTTCTGTTTTCTCTGCTGCCGTGGCTGGTTGTGCTGTACTGGCTCAGAGTCGGCTGCTGGTCTGGTTCACTTCCAAACGTCATGAGAGCATTCCCTGAAACATGACACAAAGCAGTAAAAAAATATTTTAAAAGACTTCACCAACATCGGTTTGAACTGTTTCTATTGAGTTACACTCATGTCTTATTCAATCACGACAGATGCCTCCAGTTGTGAATTATGAATTTTGCATAAGAGATTTTGCTGCGCTGGAGCTAGTTTGGATTTGGTCAGCGGAGGAGAAAAGAAAAAAGAAAAAAAAAAGAAAATACTCAGTATTCTCTTCAAGTATCCAAACTGCACCTGCCTCTCCACATCGACCTCATTAACTCTTAGAGCATTTGCTCTGGCCAAATAACTCTGAGACCTCTCTCTGTATCTTTTCTAGGCAGGAGGCCCGACGAAGGACTGGCCAAAGATTCACCTCACCACACACACCAAGCAAAGATATTCACTATGTGTACAGGTTCCATGATAGATATATACTCACTGAGGCCAATAATAAGGACATTAATTATTCACGCTCCGGAGCAGAGGTCATACAACATATAAGAGAAACTGTGTTTAAGGGGAGAATTAGCATAGAAACAAGGAGACACAGGAACAGAACAGAAGACACAATAAATTACCAAACATCAGTGTAGGACTTCTGAAACAAGGCTGATTGATCACCATTACATTCCCATCACATGCTGCTGCTATTTCTACCACTGTTAAATTACTCAACTTTCTAATACTGTATCAACTCCTTTTATATCATAATCCATACAACCTGGCATGCAGTGTTGCTTGAATTTTCCTCCGTGGTCTTCTTTTGATGCATATGTTTGATTTTAGAAGTTACATTTGCTGCTATTGTTAGTGTCATTGTTTTGGCGGTATTACAGGGAAAACAAAAGGAATACGTAAATCAAACATAAAGTAAATTGTCAGCTATTTTCAAAAGAAATGAAAATGTTCGTAGGTATCTAATCGGCCATAATTTTTTACCGTAACAGTTAAAGTGTTGAAATGTTGGCATACAGTGAATTGGAAAATCTACCTGTATACGCTCATGTTGAAAAATGAAGTCCATTAAGAACATAGCAACCAGCAGTACAATTTCAGCTTTAGCAAAGTAACACTGCCTTTCTCTGTTATTGCGAGCGCTGGGGACACAGCCATCTTTATTGGCACTGTCAGCGGACAGAACCGACCGGAGGCTTGGTGCTTACACTCTGTGCAAGCTGCACATGGCAGCCGGTCGATTGACCCGCGTGAGCAGAGAAGTAGCAGGTTTGCAGGAAGGCCGATTAAAACATGTAGTGTGAGTTAAAACATCGTACATGTTTCATAAATTCACGCAGTGTATGGCCAGCTTTTGAAGCTTGTCCTACATGTTGTCACTGATAGAAAACAACTGGAATGAACTCTGTGATTAATGTTTTGTCAGTGCGAGTATGTAGAAATATATTGACTTCTGACAGTAATTGCTTGGATCACTGGGAATACTAGAGTGTCTCCTTCTGAACGTTAGATGAATTGCGATTTACATACCCTGTGCCTTTTCAACACGAGGACCATAATACAGTTTTATTCAGTGATTTTCTTTAAATAAACCCCTAACTCCACATTCCTCCTCAAACGACTTCAAGCTGTTTCAACATTTTTCTGACATCCAAATAGGTGAAAATTTTAGGTTGAAAATGGTTTTTCTGATGTTGTATGCTGTAAGGTATTATTTTTTTGAGTTGCAGGTAGCAGATTTGGCTTCAAAATTTGGCTGAGCAATATATTTAATTAATTCCATTTTTTGGCTTTCTATAATTGTGTGAAAATTGCCTACAGCAAGCATGTGTGATTTGTGCTTTCAGCATACACCGCTAGCTGGAGTCGGGACAGTCATGTAAACAGTGTCCCTTTCATTGGAGTCACTGGCAGATTTAAACTTTAGTCACAGGGAAATGGCTCTGTTTTTAAACAGGCATTACACAAATACAGTCTGTATCGGTCCAATCAGAGGGTGATTACAGAACAAAATCAATTATCGTGATTGTTTTTTTTTTTCCTTCATGGTATTAAAACAGATGAGCCCTCGGAGAATTTCCCAGGTTACACTAATTGAACCCTTTCAAGGCCGACTGACAGCTCCCACAAGCTTAGCAACATCAAAGCTACCAGTAACCATAATGCAACACCATGGGGCCAATGTAGATAAGTAAATGCACAATTAAAGAAATACAAGAATTATTTTTGACATTGAAAGGTTCTAATGACGACTCAGAAGCAAACACTTGCCTAAAGAACGTGATGTTGATCGACAACTATGCTACATTTTTAAGCCAATCAGTTAGTTCAGCTGTATTGGCTACAAAATGTATTATAAAGGTATTTCATGCAATTACTGTCTTTCTATGAGATAGTTATTTTGGTTTGTTACCTCAGTTTCAACAACATTTTTTTTTGTTTTGTTTTAATAAGTTTTGTGCTGAAAGATAAATTTATGTGACCAGATTTTTTTAATTAGCATTAATGGCACATTCTGAGAAAATAATTAAAATAAGCATCTTATCTTAATTAGTAGATTAAATTATATTATATATGTAACTGATCGCGAAAGATATTAGGCACCATAAGACGAGATGTAAAACAAAAAATTGTGTCTAAATTCATCAGTGGTTTTCAGAAGGAATATTTATGAGTTATATGCATACTTTGTTTCTATCAGTAGAGAAAAAATAAATATCAGGTGCTTAGATGAGAGTTAATAAATGTATTAATAAATGATCCTAAATGGTTGTTAGGTTGTTAAAAACCTAAGGTTCACAGTGCTGCTTACTTATAATTCACTGTGAAGTGAATGTCTGTAGAGCTATATGAAATTACCAAGGAAACCACGTGAAACGAATATCAATAATGAGAAAGGATAAAGTGAGTCTATATATGAGAGCAAGAAAGAAACAGAGGGAGGGAAAGAGAGCACACAGTTAATGCTATAAAAAGCATATGATCTTTGATTTAAATATATATCGCTCTACTGCTGTTGGAGCATGCTGAGAAACATCTGTCTCACTGAATCCCAACAGCTCTGCCCTGTCACTATCTCTGCCACAGAGCTCACTTTACTTTCATATCAAGTCTGTTTGAATGTCCCCTGTCACAGGTTATCAGTGCAAATTATTCTGATTAGGGATCACCATTTTTGTGCTTCGTTTTAGAAATGAAATTGCGTAGCTGTACCAGTAGTGAAGTAAAAGGACATGAAGCCTGAGAGATCAGAGTAAACCTTCAGGGTATTTTTGAAACAGCATTTGGTTCAGCTCTACAGTTAGTGGCTTTTACTTCATACGATGGCAGTTTAGCCTGAAAGTGTCCACGTGCTTACGTTTTTCAGTCAACTGAGGCAGAGCTGATGCTTTCTTTGCCGCATAAATGCAAAAACATGCTTTAAGTTTACATTTCCCAACCTGATGAACATCTGTAAGTGGTGAATGTGGTTCAGAATAACATTTTTTATTTCTCCCAGCCAAGAAATAGTCAAAAAATGTGCATGACACACATTTAACTTATACTTGCTGAAACTGGAAAATATATCAGTTGTTAACATAGACAGTTGTGATCTGAAAAAATTGTCGATTAGTGCAACTTACAAACTGAAATGTCGCAGATTCTGTTCTTGGAGAAGTGTTGCACACTATACCTGTAGTAAAAAGGTATCACAGTGTCCTCCTGTTGAAAAGAACACTATGTACCATTTTATTATTAGTGGTACTTAAGGGGGAAAAAAAATGTTTTAATAGTAGAAGCTGTTTTTTTCTGTTAGTTGCCTTAATGTGTGACAGCAGGGCAGTAAGTGTGCAGAGCTCTGCTTCCACTCTCTGCAGGCATAGTGGGCGTGCCAACCCCTTTTTTCTTCTCTCATAAGCACACTGCAGCTTTCATGGTGACAAGACTACAGGCCTGGGTGCACAAACAAGCGCTCATGCCGACTGTCCACCAATTGTCTACAAAGCAGACGCACAAAGCAAAATGTGGCATTATTTCGCTTGCAGCCGACAGTCAGGACGAGACCACAGCACGAAGGCAGTCTGTAAAAGATGTTTCAAACCTACGCAGGCTGAGGGAACCAGCATGTCCGACTTGGCAAAGCATCTTGCCAAGAGACACACTGACTTGTTCAAAGGATTCACAGAGTGACAAGTTAGTGGATGTAATAGGTAACGTAATTACACGATGTCCTCAAATGTGAGTCAGACAAGTGGGATCTAATTTGTGATGAGCAAACTTTTTGCACCATCAGAGTCTGACGAGGCAATTAAGGCCAATGATAGTCCGACTCACTGACCCACTGGCCGCCCTTGTCAGCTGGCTTTCTCTTCCCCTCCTACAATTTGCGTGCTACCATATTCAAAATCCCCTTCAGTGCAGAATAAAAACAACAACAACAGCCCACTCCGAGCTGCAGCCTTCCACACTAAAAATTTCAAGTGCTGCTGACAATTTATGCAATAAGGCAGCCCTGCTAGTTTATTTTCAGTGAATTCTACATTTTTGTGTCCATCGTGCAGATCTTCCACCAGAACAATTCCATCTGTCACTATTTTAAGGCGACACCAAAGATACAGGTTAGCCCTACCCACGACATCTGTGATTGGTTTAAAGAAATACAAACAAGTCAGGGCGTTTCTTTCCTCTTTAGAAAAGTGATTGTGAGGTGGAGTCTAACCAAGACTAGGGCAATGCTAACTGTTTCCTTTGGCTTTGTCTTTTTGGCTAAGTTCCATGTTCTGTCACGTATTATTACTTTACTTTCATGAGGTTTTTGCCGTGGTATCTTTATGAGCACAGCATGCAAATGGTTTTCCGACTCTAGTTAGGAGAGTGTTAAATTTAGTCAGCTGTGTACAAAAAGTTTTTGATGGTGACGAATTCTAAACCACTAAGGTAATCCACATCCTTGTGTGGCTTTAAAGTACAAAAGAAGACCTTAAAATGCATCACAGATGACAACAGAAAGACATGAAACATGTTGCAATGCTGGCTGCTGGAATATCAGTCATTACCGTAGCCAGCCATTTCAATATCCACAACCGTTGAACCACTTGTCATCTATAAAAATCGTTTCAGGCGGACAATCTGTCACATGATGTTCTGGATGATCGTGTCCAACAACATGATGCTGTCCGCAGAAAGGTCCACCACCTTCACCCTTCACCCTCAGGTCGAGTGAGATACAAACATTCCACAAGCCAATATCAACTCATCACTGACTGGTGATATCTTATGTCATTTATCTTCATCATTTCTAATATAGTGTATACTTGGTTGTTTATTGACATTCATTCTGCTGTAGAGATGCCATGTATTGGAACAACCAATACTTATTTCCCTGTGGTGAAAAGAATGGATAGCATTTAATAAAACATTTACATTTTTGTTCATTGTACTTAAACAGGTATCATGACAACACAACCTCTGAGCTGATTAAACTACATTTAACTGTGCATTTTCATGGGTTGCTAAGTCACTGCTCTTGGCATAATTGTTATGCAAAAACACCCAGTTAAGTGCTTTAAGTTGGAAGTGATCATTTGACCAGATACAAACCTAAACATAGCCTGGAAGGGGGGAAAAAAACACACTTTAATATAAACATAATCATGTTTTCCTTTAAACTGCATGACACCAGTTAAACAGGATGTTAAAACAGCAGTCAGTACCTCTGTTTAAACAACCCCCTACCCCAAAAACACGAGTCAGTACATTCCACTTTGTTGTGAATAGAGCAACACTCACTGAGGCAGATGTTGTCAGTGAAATATCCCAGGAAATTATCACACTCCTCTCTCCGGCTCCCACTGGCTGAGCAGGAGCACCATGGGGCCACACTGGATGTGGAGTTGTCAACATAGTTGGGAGTTATTGTACTTCCTGCAGAGAGACAGCACCAGGCTTCAATCAATATCCTCCTTTGAGTTGTTACACTGCATTCATAGTGCTTTGTTTTTTGAAACATTAATGGACACAGCATTTCCTATGCACTGACCTGTTGTAAAGGAGCAATAATATTTCAGTACCTCAGGTTAGACCGGCTGTGCACTGGCTCGCACAATATCATAGCGAGATGCTGAGAAATACTCCAATTTTCTCTTTTTTAGGTCACAGAAGTCTCTGGCATTGAGTTCTTTTTGTGTGTGCGGCTGTTTTCTCTTTTTTTCGACATAGTGGAGGTGGGATTTGAAGTGCTTTAATAAATACAAGACAGGAATGAAAATGCCAAGTGTATGTTTGTGCTGAGGGGCACCATTTGAGGTTCTTGAAATGCATTAGGTTAGCTCCTCTTTCCAGTGTGTGGAAAAGAAGCGGCTGTTCTTTTCTTTTACGGATTGTTATAAAACAGATTAAACCTCACATTGTATAAGGAGCCTGTGATTTTTTTTTTTTTAGTGCAGAGGTTGCTTTTTTTATGCTTTTAGGTCTTACATCATTGGTTAAGAATGAGAGGTTTCATTTCATTTTGACTTTTTTATCTGTACTGTATTTATTAATTTCCCTATCTATCTATCTTCCACTCATTCCTGCCTCTTTGCTGTGCAGTTTTCTCTTTCCATCTCTCGCGCTGCATTTGGCACATACTTTCATTTGATACTGTCTCCTTCCTCCTCCACCTGTTCATTTCAATTCATTTTTTTTGCCTCGAATTTGTGTTTTCCCTCTCTCCATGTGTTACATCTCAGGTGTGCACCTACCTATAAGCCCTGTGTAGGCGAGGAGACAAGCTCCAAAGTTCCCTTGCTTGCAGCCGTTGGCAGATGTTTTGGAGGGTTCGCAGTCATACTGAAACTGTGCCAGACGAGACCTACAAAAGCAAGAGACAGGCACCAGTTAGCAAACACATGATAGATTCCTGTATTGTTTTATGCAAAAGGTCTACGGGTACTTTTTAAAAAATATATATATAAATTCTATCAGTTTTAACTTGGTCTTTTAATTAAGAGTTTGCCCCTCTGACATAAAGAAATATTGTCGGCCATGCTGAAGACTGAAAGCAGTGGACTGTAATGTGAAAGTGATAGAAAGAGTAATATATTTCATCCCCCAGACCTAGGATCATTAGTAAAGCCCTCTGAGTGTAATGGGGCTGCGGAAAAATAATGGCCATGACCAGAGATAGCAATGAGCGATAACTCTGATCCATCTGGCTCTTTATCTGTGCTAAATATTTAATGTGTTATTCCAACAGGCTCTCTGGGGTGTTCCTACCGATGGTGGTAGAAAGCTTTAGGGTAAAACAGCAGGCCATTTTGTTGATTGAATGGCTGTTTATTTGGTTTCAAAGAGCCATTATACTGAACAGCACTGGCCAAAATATGTATGGTGAGTATTTCTAAAATCTATATCCAAGGAATAGTTAAATAAAGTGGGAATAATATAACATTGGTTTGGCTGATTTGGGAAACCATAAGCAAAGAGTCGGATCATTAAGCAAAAGCAAATCTGGAGATTATGATCATATTATACCAATATGTTACTGTATCCATATGAGATGTATTATGTTTAATATCTATTACATGAGATTGACAAGGGAATAAAGAGAAGCAAATTAAAAGCTCCTGTTGAGCTCTGTTCTAACCTGCACACATAGTCAGCATTGCAGATCCTCATCTGTGTAATGCAGTTAGGTTTTTCAACACTTTCATAAGAGCAGCTGGGCACAATGGTCTGCCTCCGACGCTCTGCACACGCTGTGTCCGTACACGGGCAGAAGAGCAGCTCGTGTGTGTAGTCGGCAGGAACGCGGTCAAAGAACCTGCGCAGGGCCTTATTGCATTTAGGCCGGTTGCACAAGCCTGACTTGGCAGTCGGTTTGATACAAGCTGAGACATATTCTGTGCGAAGCTTCTGGCACAAGTCATCCACATTGCAAGCCTTGGCTGCATCCAAGCAGCGATTCACAGTTGTCATGCCAACATCAGAGTCTGTGGATGGAAGTAAGGTCAAAGAAAAGATGTCAGTGGAAAAGTGAAAGCAGTAGATCAAAAAGGTTTTGTGTTTATGTGAATAAGACCGTATGTGACCTGTGGTATGTACTCGGTTTATATATTTATTGTTCTGAGATGTAATCTCCTCATGTTAAAAGCTCAAAAGTTCAGTTAGGTAGCTTGGAATCAGAGAGCAGCTTCAAGTGGGAAGTCAGTAAATAAACAATGGAGACTTGTTTCTTGAGTACCAGAAAAAAAAGTGTGAGCAGAGAGGTTTGCTCTCCAGTGTTAGGAAAATGGTAGACTTTCTCAAAATGAAAGTAAGTTGTGCACAAAGTAAGACCCTCAAGGGCAATTTCAAGGAGTTATTTTAATGTCAGCACAAGAATCACACATTTTCCATCCTAATTAAAATCAGCATGATATGCTGACATATTACAACACCAGACTTTTAAAGTCAGCTGTCGCAAAAATATACTCTGCTTTTTGTATTCAGCAGAGACACATTTGTCTACTGTCTGTTGCAAATCCCCTGAAATCGTCCTCTGATCTGTAAAATGTGCATCACTCCTGTGCCACTGTGCTTTTCCTCCATTTGTTACTGCAAGGTAACTATAAGCCTTCAGTCACATGTATTATGTGAAACAGTGCAGATGCATAAACAGTCACCACTCGCTTTTATTCAGAATCAGTTTAGAATTTTAAAGGGTTTCAATGTGACATTATTCTGAAAGCCCCTTAACAACACACATCAGGCTGAAATGTGTGTTGGCACCGGCTTGTATTATGAGTCATTGATTATTTGGGCCATTGTATTCATTTGATGGCATAGATTATTCTCCTCTTTGTGTCTAAACTGAATACTTGATAACTATGTTTCTAAAATCACAGATTAATGCTACAAACAATTCAGTAAAAGACTCAGAGCAGGAGATAGTAATGGAGATGAAATAAATATGACTGAAGAAACATAAAATACAGGACAAGCAGTGTGGTTAGGTAAAGAAAGGGTACAGGGAATTAAATCATAACTACAAAATTAAAGGTGAACTCTTGAAACAGGATTAATTTTACTTTTTGAGTCAACATTACAAACTTCTTTCTTATACATAAGATAAACTATATTCTTAATAGTAGATATTGCTCTGATTTTACCTGCTACAGGAACGTTACATAACACATAAGGTTTTTATAACAGTTTGACTTCCAATTAGTTTCATTATCATTGCTATTTAAATTCCCAACATAAAAGAATATTTAGCTGATAGTAGCAAAGAATTCAAGCTAGCTATCAAGTGCTACAGCTGGCTAATATACCAAACATTATTAGTTTAACCTAAAGTCAGCTAGTTAGCCTTTTTAGGTGGATATTTATACTTTTATTTTTCTTTTTTTAGAGCTTGTTAACTAATGTTAGCAAGGCTACAGTTCTGAAAATCATTAATATCCATGTTGGGGTCCGTCTTCTCTCAAGAGTCCTACTTCTACATTTTCACATATTACAGAGCGATTTAGTTTTTTGTTCAAATGAATAGAGAACCCTCTGTCATGTTAACAGCACAAAAAAGTTTGTATATGTATATTCTTTTCAAAACCACAGACATATTTTGTGCTGTAATACTGCATCACCTTGCCTCAAAAGAACTTCTTTTAATTTTCACCCACCAGTAAAGTGATTTCAGTGGCATCTTAGCCTGGTTAACCCCAATACAATTATCTTTTGTACCAGATCTAAACTGCTTTGTGATCTGGACCAAAGAAACCGAAGAAAGCAGCAGAGGTTATGAATGGTGATGTTTGGCGAGAGAGTGAACTTTGATTCTCTATGTGGCATCTTCTCAGTGAACCTTTTGTATACATCCTGCTGGGAAATAAGTGACCAGCTGACCTGTAAGAGCTGCTTGCATCTGGGATGAGTCATCAGTTTTCTGCAGTTTTGTAATGCTTACAGGAGCTCTGCTCAGACCACAAGATTATAGCGCTGCAACAGTTTGTGAATTATCCAAGGAGTCGATTGAAAGAAGATGAATCACAACATTTTGATCACTGAGAGTCATTTCTGTTCTTTTCATGAAAAATATTCTCCAGTTTCGGCCTCTTGTGTGTGAAGATTTGCCGCTTGGCACCATCATATATGATAGTAAATGGGACATGTTTTGGTTTTGGTCTGTTGGTTGAACAAACCAAACAATTTAGGACATCACTTTAGGGCGACTATAGGAAGTTGTGATTGGTGTTTTCACTACTTTTACAAACGATTGATTATTTAGGAAAACAGCAGCTTAATCAATAATATCGATTAACTGTTAGTCACATACATACATGAACACAAGTATTATGACCTTTGCTTAAATTTTGCACTAATCTTTACCTTATTTTTTTTTAAAAGGCATGTTTAGTTTGCAGTATTGTCAAGCAATATTGTGTTTGCATTTTAACTTGCATTCAACATACAATCTACTTTTCAGGGTTGATGCTCTTTTTTTTCAATTTTTATAGGCTTGCATTGTTAAAGGAGCCTGATATTGCATGAAACAAAGCCATATTTGGAATATTCTATCATTGTAAGTCCATAAAAAAAAGAAGAAGAAGAAACACATTCATTAGTATGCCCTGACATTCATGGATTCTGTTATTTCATCCGAGTCTGGGATGTGAATGTGGTTGCCATACAATAATGTGCTCAAGAAAAAGATATAATTTTGGTTCCTGGAGTTGTGTTGGGGGGAATAGTAATATGTGTGTGTTGTGTCTGAAGAGCATAAGGGACCTCTGTTTTTCTTGGGCACATTTCCAAGAAAAAAATCTGTAGAGTCATGTATTCTTGCAAGAATAAAACATCCTCTAAGGGTGAAATAGTATAAAATAAGGTGAAAGTTAATGAAAGTCGGCGAACTTGCCAGCTGTAATAGAGGCCAAGCGGACATAATCGTAATCCCTCTGCACTGTCTCATAGGGATAACTCTCCACCAGGTTGAGTCCTGAAAGAATAAAAGACAGAGAAATATTGGCTTGAACGAACACCACAGCTCATCTAAACTTAATGAAACATGAATATTGATAATATGCAGTCATTGTCTTTTAGTCACTGAGGCTCCAATTCACCAAATTACAAAGTTTTGACACTCTGCCTATTATTAATTTATCAGGTTTGTTAAAATATTTTAAATGAACGGCTTTCCAGCAGATTATGTATCTAAATATACCAGAGTAAAAATTTTGTTGAAGAATTAACGTATTGCACATGACCATGCACAAACCATGTATGATAGACTGGTGGAGGCTCCAGTAGATGCTCAGGCAGTTCTTCTCCTTCTTCATTCCTCGTTTACACTGGCAGCCGTGTAAAGGACTGGAAAGTAGGGCGGACACTGCGTTGGCACACTGGCTTCTGGCACCGGGGCCCAGCTTCATGCTGCCGTTCCCTGCCACACACTGACGCAAAGTACGTAGACGAGGACTGCAAGTTTCATCACTCGAACAGGAGTCTCCAGCCACCAAGCAGTCTCTGCCAGCCAGAATAACCTCTAACAGGGCTGTGTGAGAAGAAACCAGAGTACAACAAAAAAGCAGAAAGATAAGCGGATTTTGAGATGGCAGCTGAGGTGTAAGGTTACAAGATGAGAAAGTAAGAATTAAGGAGATGCAAGTTGACGAGTCGGGCCAAATGTCAGGAGGACGGAAAGAGGAGAAAGTAAAGAAGATCGTTTTGAGGGAAAAGAAATGTGAACAGTTGTAAGGAAATATTGAGCATTAAGGTAAATCAGCTGCAGGGCTTATTGTGAAACTCTGAGAATGTGCAACTGCAAGAGGTTCTATCGCAAGTATGTGATTATTATACTCCTCTCATACTGCCTGGTGAAATATTAATTGTTGTAGATGATGTTTCTCAAAGCAGTGTTGGTTCAAGATTTAATGTCCATTATACATATGTGACTGTTTCAAGTCCAAGAGCAGGGAAAAAAAGGCGTTTCTGCATGTTTTTTTTAATGATATTCAATGATTGCAAGTCAAGAAATGAACAGTATTAATACTGGGCCCTATGGATATATATTCAGGCAGCTTTTCCCAGTGGCCACTTCACAATGAAGAAATCCTCTACAGCCTATAAAGCATGTTGCCTATAGACAACCACTGTAAAAGACTTGTCTACAAAACTCTTGGCAGGAAACCTCCAAATGCAAACAAGGTCATTTTTCACTCTTTCTGTCTTTTAATTTTTTTTTATTTTTATTTATTGGTATTAGTAAAACTTTAGCAGAACCTTGAAAAGATTTGCAGGACATTATTTGAATGTAAAGTCTCTGGGCCAAGTGGGAATGAGTGGGTGGGTCCGGCAGGAGAAGCATGAATGCACGCGTGCTGTGGGTTGTACAATGTGGAAGCATATCTGGAAGCTAGGAACTGTTTTTGACTCATGCGCCAGGAGAGGAAACTTTTAAGAAGTGAGTGGTATGCAACTGTGAGCCCCACGTACACTTCCTATACTACATCCATGGTGGCCTCTAGAGCCGGCTGCAGTCTGACGAAGGACAACTTCTAGAAGCTGGTTTGTAAAAAGCCGGTAGCTTTAACAACCTGTTTCAGATGAGCTGCATAAAAGACCAATATAAGATAAAGACTTGTTTAAACGGTAAATCAGGCAAATAGATGCAAGTAGACTTCTAGGATAAAGATCAAAACCTAGAAACATGCATGACATGCCCCCTTTAAAGAAGAGAAAGTGAGTGTGGATAATTGAAAGCACAGGGAACGAATGAATCTAGAAACCCCAAAAACAGACTAGTGTGTGAAGCAGATCAGTTCATTTTGCTGTGGTACATGTCTTCAACACACACTACGAATTTCTCCTCTTTCTGAGATAAAAAGTGAACTCTTAAAAACAACATTTTTTTATTTTTTTGTATAAGCTGCTACATCTGCAAGTCTTTTTACATACTCTGTTATAAGTTAGATTTTGCTTTGTTCATTGGATAACAGGCTTTTGAAATATTCAGTATCTTACAAATGGCACTGCAGGCTACAACATCTGCTGCTTTATTGAGAAGAAAATGTCTTCAAGGCTTTGGTTATGAAATGTTGTAGTTTCTATGCATGTTGAATACGTATGTATTTTATTCAGTTACTGTGGGAAAGATCAAGAGTGGCAGACTTATACAGATGCTAATCTGTGCTCTTAATGATTCACTGGCCAACCTTGTCCTGAGTAGCATTGACTTTAACAGTGGTGCTGCATGACTCAAACCTATTCAGCCTGCCAGTCGACTAAGTACACTAATGAGTGAAAGAACCATAGATATTTATCCAGTGCTTTAGTGCAGACAGTAGCTGATAAGACAGCAAAGTGGGATGGAACAAAACAAGTGAAAAAACAGGTACACTGTATGTTAAGTAGTGCAGTACAGGTGTTAAGTAGCATTGTTGTTTCTCAAGTCATGAAAAATCTAATTGAAAGTTGGATTTACGTTTGAGTCAAGCATTCTTTGATGTATTGAACTGAAGGTTAAGCTGCTAGCACTCCTGTACAATTGAGGTAACTCAATATGCAGAAATATTATCCACTGAAATTCAAAGTTTTGGTCTTAATAAGGATTTGAGTTTGCATGTTCTCCCCGTGCAGCGTGGGTTCTCTCCGGGTTCTCCGGCTTCCTCCCACATTCCAAAAACATGTTGAGGTTAATTGGTGATTCTAAATTGTCCGTAGGTATGAATGTAAGTGTGCTTGGTTGTATGTCCAGGGTGTCCCCTGCCTTCACCCTAAGTCAGCTGGGATAGACTCCAGCCCCCCACGACCCTAGTGAGGATTAAGTAGTGTATAGATGATGGATGGATGGATGGACGGTCACAAAGAAAATGAGCACAGACGAATAAAAACAAACTACCAAAGCAGACCTTAACAGTATATCCAGAAACATAAAGCAATAGGAGCTCGAACAAAAAATCAATTATAAGCAAGACATGTGAAAAAAGTAAACATTTAGCAGTAAAACATATGTTCAAAATATTTTTTGTCTGAGCTTATAAGTGACTTGAGAACCCAAAACTGTTGCTATTTCCCATTATGAGTTGACTTTGAAAAAATTCAAGGAGCGTTCTTTGAGCTTTGTGTTCTCAGGTGATTCTGTGAACATATTTCTAAGCATGACCCGCAGCAAACCAAGTGGATCCTATTATTCAAATTCTGTAAATTCATACCACCCCCTTTGTTTCTTATAACGCCGTTTACCCCGTCTGCTTAAAAAAGAAGTTTTCCATTTCATGCTGCTTTCATCTGCTCATACTGTAGGTATTTTGGGATTAACATTGTCTCAGCCCCAGTTTTGTTCTGTTAAACATACGTGCATGCTCAGGAACAAAGAAGGTAATAAAACAACATATTATCCATTCTGTCAGCACTGTGCTATCAGCCTGCTGCCAGAGCTGGATCTTTACTCAAACCCCTCAGGTGTCTCGCTCACATCAGGAGTTATGCAAACTCTCATCCTCTATTCAGCACATGTCAGGTAAATGCGTCCAATGCAAACCATGTGGATGCTGCGGGGAGAGAAAAAAAAAAAATCCAACCAATGCCAACGTCCTGGAAGGCCAGATGGTCAGTTGCAAATTCAAGGCCGAAATCCCAGACCTTTCCTCTACGGCTATGTGTGTCAGTTTGTGCTGCCTGGGCAGAAGCTGGAATAGACACCATACATCATGAATGCAAATGAGTCGCTTGATTTGACATTTCCAATAAGCCTGTCTCAGTGTACCACTAGGTTTAGCCAATTAACCATGTCAGTAATCAATGTGTTCGGAGGCTCAGTTAAGTCCTCAGTTTCCCTGCCACATAAATCACAGGCAGATTAGCTGATCAGTTACCCTTGTGCGCCAACTTAATGGTCCACTTCAGGAGAGATAAAATGGAAAATGAAACCTAATGAAGTCAGCTGGAATGTTACCTTAACTCTTATAGGCCTACAGAGCTGTGAAACTGATGCACTTAATAAGTATCTTTGTTTGAGTGCTCCTAAAATTTGTAAATTATCCTGGATAGTTGGATTAAAGCTAGCAGCCTCACATTAAAGCGAGCATGCGACTGCTTAGCCGAGGATGTTAGGCAACATGATACAAGCCATTTCAGTGTGATAATGTAGCACACGTTTGGCTCTGTTTTCCTGCAGGCGCAAAACCGATGCTAGGGCAGTTTTCCTCAGGTACAAGCCTTTTGTATTTTTCCCCTGCACCTGTTTGGTCATAATCTGGAACCAAACAAATGTGTTTATGCCAAGAAAGGAGGAGAGGTGCAGTTGAGTGTGTGGGTATGCTGATTAGGCAGCACAATGCAGTTTTGGTGGTCAGTGTAGTACAAATGCATGAAAACATGCTCAGATTACCTTTCACGTCAACCACCTATTGCTGTTGCAGACAAAAGGTTAATTTTCTGGCTTTAGTTGGTTTAGAGACGCACACATTCAGACCTGTCCAAAATCACAAAGTACTTTTGATTTGTGTTAGGTGTGGTCTTTTTGAATTCGATACACATTTTTTCCATCTACTGCAGATTGATTTATGCTTCCAAACCACATGTGTGTGATGCAGCAATACTGGTGTTGTATTTGATAAGTAAGTGACTTTTTAATGCACTTAATTAAACACCTGTAGCCATCAGACAGCAGCATGAATGATATGCATGTGTCAGCTATACGCTCTGATTTGACAGAGGTGTTGTGCTTATTTGCAAAGATAGCAAAGTTGATTAATTATTTAAATCTCCAGACACAGTCCTGGTAAAGGTAAATAATATTCAGCGTCAGTGAATTTTCCTTTTTGTCACCTGCAGTCATGGTAATATGAATAATTAATGATATGTGTTGCTGAGTTCTGCACATTGAAGCATATAATCAGAAAAGTGCAAAACGATCCATCCTATTAGTGTCACATTAGCACATAAAGCATGTGAGTGAAAACATTTTCAAAGTTTACACTTGATACAGTTATTTTGTTCGTTTTTCTCCTCCATTAGCTAAACTGTCATGTCAATGGTTTTCCAAGCTCACATCATCCCCCGAGTGCAAAAGTCACACTTTTGATTGTATTTCTTATGGCAATGTTCCATCACGTTTTAATTAATTACACAGTAAATAATGACGTGAAGTTTAAATTTAGAAAACTAAATCACAATTCAAATCACAAAATCTGTCAGAAAAGCCTCAGTTTGATTTTTCCCCAAATTGTTCAGCTCTAGCTGTGGTAACAATTTGTGTTCAGGATACCGTCAGTCTGCTCAGTGGCTAAAGGTAATGAAGAAATTGTAATACATACACAATGGTTTGATATTTTACATATAGATTATTTTGTGTTGATGTTTTTTGTTTTTTTTAGAGAGACATAAAGCGGAGAAGAACCACTGAATTCAGAAAATGAGTCAGCTTTTATTTATTTCATTAGTTGAAAGAAAATAAAAAAATACCCAGTTTGTCTGCTTCTTTAAAATAACTAATGTCAGTAGAAGAATTCAACTATTTTTTTAGCTCTTTCTACTTTCAGCTAGAAGATTAATTCAGTCCTTCAAATGCAGACCTTCATCACTTTTGTTCATGTTTTTAGTATTAATATTCATCTTTTAACAGCATATCATAGGCTTCGTTGACCAGAACACCCCGAGATGCAGCTTGAAGTGCCAAGAAAAAGATGCCAAATGGCTCTGAAGTGGGGTTTATTTCCTAAAAAACCTCAGCATGGGTATATGCATACACTGTCAATTGGCTGCTCAGATTATTCAGCACTT